AACAGTTAAACATCAGTTGAATTATGCATCAAAATATATATACGATTTTGTGTTATCAGGACTCCCTCTTTGCCCATATCCGTCTTCTCAATGGACTCTCCCAAGTGGTCCTCCAAAGCAACCAGGACTATTAGGTCCACGCTCGCAAGCCTATGCAGCCAACACTCCTTCTCTAGCACCCACGGATATTGAAGCCGCAATGCACACCATGTCCCTCAATCCTCCCGATGGCCAGTGGTATATGGATACTGGAGCAACCTCTCATATGACGGCATCACAAGGTAATCTCTCGTCTTATTCTAATATGAGTAATTCAAATCAAAATATTATTGTTGGTAGTGGACAACAAATTCCAATCTGTGGTTATGGACAATCAACCCTTTCCACATCTACAAAACCTTTAAAACTACAAAATGTCCTACATGCTCCGCAAATTATTAAAAACTTAATTTTTGTGCGACGTCTCACAATTGAAAATAATGTTTCTATTACTTTTGACCCTTTTGGATTGTCTGTGAATGATTTTTAGACGGGGATGCCACTAATGAGATCTGATAATATTGGGGATCTTTATCCCATCACGAATAATTATTCAGTCTCCCATCCATCCACTTTTGCAGCTCTTACTTCCAGTTTATGGCACAACCGCTTAGGACACCCGGGTTCATCTGTTTTGCAATCTCTTAGCAAAAATAAGTTCATTGGTTGTAACAATTTACTTTCAAAATCTGCTTGTGACTCTTGTGTTTTTGGGAAGCATATTAAATTGCCATTTTATGCTTCTCAATCTCATACTTTAATGCCTTTCGATATTATGCACAACAATTTATGGAATTCTCCTATTTTAAGCACAGTTGGGCATAAATATTACGTTTTATTCTTGGATGGTTACTCTAATTTTTTGTGGACTTTTCTTATTAGCAAAAAATCTGAAGTCTACTCTATGTTTTCATCCTTGACTTCTCTCATTAAAACTCAATTTGATATAACCATCAAATGTTTTCAATGTGACAATGGACGTGAATTTGACAATGAGTCTTTCAGAAAATATTGCGATGCTAATGGTCTTATTTTTCGTTTCTCTTGCTCGCATACTTCTTCTCAAAATGGTAAAGCGGAACGAAAAATGCGCACCATAAATAACATGATTCACACTCTCCTTGTCCATTCTTGCATGCCCACCTCTTTTTGGCATCATGCTCTTCAAATGGCAACTTACTTGTTAAATATTCTCCCACATAAATCTCTTAATCACAAGTCACCTACTCAGACTTTATATCACCGGGATCCCACTTATACACACCTTCGGGTTTTTGGTTGTTTATGCTATCCACTATTTCCTTCTACCAGTATCCATAAATTACAACCTCGCTCTACCCCGTGTGTTTTCTTGGGCTACCCGTCCAATCACAGAGGATATAAATGTTATGATTTGTCAAACAAAAAAATAATTATTTCACGGCATGTAGTTTTTTATGAAACTCAATTTCCCTTTTCTAAGTTACATTTACCCTTTAATAATGCATATGATCTCTTTCATGATACCTTACATCCTTTCCGCATAAATCACTAGAAAAATCAAACTTTGCCACAAATTGCAGCCAACCCTCCAGCCACAAGCCAAACTACTTCCCCAAATAATAACCATGTTCCGCACACCATCATCCCAACTGACCCACCTCCAACAAATGACCAGCCAACTCACCAAATCGAAAGGACCATAACAACACGAAGCATGTGTGGCATTTCAAAACCCAAACACATGTTCAACCTATCTGCCTCGGCCCATGACCTCTTACCCTCTCCCGTTCCAAAAAATCCACATTTAGCCTTGTCCGACCCACATTGGAAATCTGCCATGCAGGAAGAATTTGATGCTCTTATAAAAAATAAGACGTGGGATTTGGTCCCTCGACCTTGTGATGTTAATATTATTCGCTCTATGTGGATTTTTCGTCATAAAAAGAAATCTAACGGTTCTTTTAAGCGTTATAAGGCTCGTCTTGTTGGTGATGGCAGGTCTCAGAAAGCTAGAGTAGATTGTGATGAAACATTCAACCCTGTGGTTAAACCAGCAACTATCCGGATGGTTCTCAACATTTCCTTATCAAACTCATGGCCCATTCATCAGTTAGATGTCCAGGACGCCTTTTTACACGACAATCTTCATGAGACAGTCTATAAGCATCAGCCCATGGGTTTCCGTGATCATGTTCACCTGGACTACATCTGTCTTCTAAAAAAATCATTATACGGCCTCAAACAGGCTCCTCGAGCGTGGTACCAACGATTTGCTGACTATGTCTCCACCATAGGCTTTCATCACAGCAAAACCGACCATTCCTTATTCATCTACCGCAAAGGCACGGACATGGCATACATTCTTCTATATATCGATGACATCATTCTCACCACATCCATTGATGATTTTCGGAAATCCATCATGATGCTTCTTGCTTCAGAAATTTCCATGAAGGATTTGGGCCCTCTTAGCTATTTTCTAGGCATTGCAGTAACCAGACATACAGGTGGTATCTTTCTTTGTCAAAAAAATTATGCAGCAGAGATCATTGATCGGGCCGGCATGTCATCTTGCAAATCGTCTGCCACACCTGTTAACACCAAACAAAAACTCAGTGTCTCATCAGGTGTTCCGCTTGAGGACCCCACTCATTATCAGAGCCTTGCAGGTGCTTTGCAGTATCTCACTTTCACTCGACCAAATATTTCATATGCTGTCCAGCAGATATGCCTCCACATGCATGCTCCGAAAACAGAACATATGAATGCTCTAAAACGCATTTTGCGTTACCTACAAGGCACTCTGCATTTCGGCTTACATTTGTACCCATCATCCATCTCTAGTCTTACTTCCTACACTGATGCGGATTGGGGTGGTTATCCTAACACAAGGAACTCAACATCTGGTTACTGTGTCTTTCTTGGTGATAATCTTATCTCATGGTCATCTAAACGACAACCTACTCTCTCCCGTTCTAGTGCTGAAGCTGAATATAGAGGGGTAGCCAACGTCGTGTCCGAGTCATGCTGGATTCGAAATCTTCTCCTGGAACTACATTTTTTGATCCCAAAAGCCACGTTGGTGTATTGTGACAATGTCAGTGTCATATACCTCTCCGGCAACCCCGTTCAACACCAACGAACGAAGCACATCGAGATGGATATTCACTTTGTTCGCGAGAAGGTGGCTCGCGGTCAAGCTCGAGTTCTTCATATCCCATCACGTCATCAGATTGCTGACATATTTACTAAAGGGCTCCCGCGCATACTTTTTGATGATTTTCGGACCAGTCTCAGCGTGCGGGAACCTCCCGCTTCCACTGCGGGGGTGTGATAGACCAGAATATTTGTTAGAATATTCTTGTAATAACATCTGTATCTTTTCCATTCATAGAATAGGCAGTACCTTCCTAATCTATTTTAAGCAAATAATTTATGTATAGTTAAGAGGCTTCTATATTGGTCACACATGATTATTATACATATATGGATACAGATTAATGAAAACAGCAGAAAAACAATTCCTTTCAGGACCTATTGTCCCACTCCATTTATGTGGATTTCGTAATTTCTTATTATTTTTATTATTATTTTAAATAAAAATATGAAATTAATATCTCACTAATAATCATAATTTTTTTCAAAAAAAAATTATTATCCACCTATAGTACTACTAGACCCATGAGTTTACGTAGTTCTAAGATTAAATGTTGTTTCTTATTTTCTTCTGTATCCTTTCTAAATTATGTATTTTATGAAAATAATGTGTTTTATTGAATTTTTTTACTATTATCAAGTGTTATGTCGTGTTGATGAATTTTATTAGATATTATATGATGTATTTCATCGAATTTAAGTATTATAAATGAATATGATTGTATTGAGTTGTGTTACATTTTTTTTTAAATCGACAAAAAAATTATAAAAAATATATTTTTTATATGAAACATAACTCGTGAACCCAACACAGCACAACTCATAAATGAACAGGTCAATTTTGACAATAAAATTACAGGTTGGACGATGAACCAAATCCATTGAACTTTGAACGAGTTGAGTAACAAATTAATCAAACCCGGTCGAACTCAACCTGTGTACAAATTAGATCAAACCCGATCGAACTCAACCTGTGTACATTTTTACCTCCAAACACTGCAATATAATTGTTTAGTTCTCCCAAATTAGAGGAATTTTGGTTTGTGAATAAAAATAAAACTCTAAAACCCTCCCCACCTAAATCCTTCTATTACTTTCATTCAATCCTTCTGTTTTTTCAAAACTTTCCCCTCCCTTTCTCTCCAAATTTCCATACAAAGCCTAAAACATCCAGAATTAGAGAATCAAAAAAAATATATATTTGCTCAGAAAATATTTCCCCAGAAGAAAAGAAAACTTCAAAGGGCATGTACAGAGTAAGGAACTTATTACTAACTAATACTCAGTAGAAAGAACTGATTCAAATTAGCAATCCAAGTAGTTCAGTTTTTTTTCTTCAACAGGACCTGGCACACGTCATTTCAGCAGCACACAGCAAAATATAATGTTACTTCCACAACTACCAGTGTTAATATTAATGTTCAACAACATTTACAAAGACAATAACCAATGCAGTCACATAAAACAACAAATTGGGCATGAATTATTGTATAAGACTACTTATCTGCCCTTAAAATGGGCAGGAAAATGGAATTTAAAAAAATGTCTCAGGCCTACCAACTTTTCTTTTATGTATATTGAAGAAGATTAAGATAAAATACAATCTAAAACAAGTCTACACCAACATGAATTAACTGTCATTAGGCAAATATCATACAATTTTTACAGATATAAAGGAAGACCTAATGGGAAAGTGTCATCTCCCTTATAAGAGAACTGCAGGCTGCGCTCACTCCTCGCATATCTTAGCATGCCATCATCTTTTCAAAAAAAAGTCCTACAAGTCGAAGGATTCAGCCTCAATGAGTATAGAGCTGATGCAGTTAATACCGAGAATTTTGTTGTTCCAGTTTCTCAATCAAGGCTTTCTTTTCATCATCAGGGAGAGAATTGAACGTGAAAACTGACTTGTCACCGATGTCATCCTTAATGTTAAACACAAGTTCAAGATCAGGGAATCTGTGCGGAGAATGAAGATATCAATTTCAAGAACAAAATCATCATAAGTAAATTACCTTGATGGGCTGAGTGAATTTCCTCCCCGCAAATATCACAAAAAGACCCATCCATAAAGCAAGCAATGTAAGTTTAGCTCCATCATCCATCAAACCGGACTGCAAATTTTAGAGTCAAATTTGTCCGGGGGAGAAAAATATACAGATGTTATCTATAATATATATGGGGCGATCAGTAATGGTGATTATGACAATCCTCAAAATCTGCTTGACCAATGAAGGTAAAAGAGATGCAGACATTGTGAAATGCATGGACTTGAATATTAGCGTCAAAAGAAATATGATAACGGGTTTCGAATTTAAGGATAAGGGTTCAGTAAAACCATAATAAGATGCCGTTACTCCTAATTGGATCCTCCGCAACCCTGCAGTTCGGTCCAATTCAATCATGGTCATTGGACATGTTGCAATGCAGGGTTACAAATAATTTGGGTTCTGATTATGTACATACTACATTCACTAAAGTTGAAATATGAATCTTTAGGTCTCATCTTACAAGTCCAGTTTCATGATTGTAGTAACTACCTCATATTTTGAAAACAGTGAATCCAAATCCCTAACTAACGAATTTGAAAGAAAAAAGCATAAGAGCCATAGACTATATAGCCTATGAATTAAATTACACAGTCAACATGTTTAATGGAGCGCTTTAGAAGAAAAACAAAAGAATACCAGATGCCCGAGAAGAAGTATCGGAATAATAAACGTGAGAGCTCCAGCTTCTAGCTTGCCGTAGCAGAGTCCTGTTTAAAGATCACAAGAAAATATCAATACAATTGATACATATTTGTTTCTTCTATCCCACTAATATTTAATGGTAACATAAAAAGTATATGCATTTAATTGAACATCACCTTCCTTGAAAACAAGTCCTGTCAAAGCAGCGAAAAGAGGACCGACAAGCCAGACAGCTGATGGGTTATCAACAACATATTGTACTAGAGTTTTATTAGCCGGTTGTGCAAGGTAGATGTAGGTTGCAGCTGATCCAAGAACCCCAAGGCCCCATAATGCTTGTAGAGTGCGCTTGATTTCAGTCACATAGATGTGAATCAAGAATAATGATAAACCCAATCCACCTGACCCAATGACATATAAAAAATCTTGGTTTTGCTTGAGCAATGAACTTAGGTTATCAGGCAAATATGCAGCTGATGCGGCAATGACAAACGATGCAGCGGCTGTCACTAATCCTGATCTGTACGAAATAACCTGCCATGAGCATAGCTATCATTATATATACATAGCATAAGCCAAAAGCTTTCAAACTGCAACTGTATATGTAACATATAAAGACAACACTGTTTTTGCTGCAGTGTTTTCAACTATACCACAAAATTATTTGAGAATTTTATGTCGTTGAATTCAAAAGCTTATAATTGATTCCTGAAGTTGCCAATAATTTGTAATTGGGTCCCTACCCTACATTCAAGGAACTAGTTACAAACAGAAAAACACTTAAAAGTTCATGAATCAGATTGAAAACTACTTCTATATTAGAAGATTATGAAGCACGGACACCCCGAATTTGACCCCGATACTAACACGGAGACACCAGTAATAATTTGAAAAAATGAATAAATCAAAGTAATCACAAGTGTCGGTGCAAGTGTCTTATACCGACACGGACACGGACACATCTTTTTTCAGAAGTGTCAGTGCTAAGATTATAGAAAAAGAATAAAACAATTGTTATTTTTTCAGAAGTGTCGGTGCTAAGATTATAGAAAAAGAATAAAACAATTGTTATTTCATATGGGTAAAGGAATTACATTGATGATAATATAAGTATTGAGTATGATAAAACTAATCTAACACTTGAAAAGGAAACAAGCTTATAGTTTATAACAGAAATAACAGTTTTTCATTCTTAAAATCATGGTATCCGATCTTGAAACCGACCAATTCAAGTGAACCAATCTTACCGTCCACTAGCAGACTAGGGGCTCATTTAAAGCCAGTAAGGACTAGCTCAATACAGAAATTGTTAGCATCTTGTAGGATTCAAACTTGAGACCTTGAGAGGAGCACTCTCAGATCACAAACCTTCACCATCAGGAGAACCCTGGGGTTTATAACAGTAACCAATCATCTTATCATTTGTCCACAACTCCTAACTCAACTAACAAAAACCGATATTGTTAGGTCAGACACCATCACCCAAATTCGAATTGAAAAATTCACAGTTGTTTTTAAATTTCTAGGGGTTATTGTCACTTCGTACCCAAAAAGTTCTAATTATTTAACTTAAGAGACCTAATTCTCCTCATGTTATTTGTATTCTAGAACGAGGAGACGGCGAGTACCTCTTGAACATCGGAAGATTCAACGGTCCAGGGGCCATAAACACCTTTATAAACTACGGTATCGCTCAATGAACCTTGCGGGTTTTCTCCGACCGCTTTACATCTTACTGGCCGGATTCTAATTCTTGAAGAAGGTATGCGACCGCCACAAGATAACCTGGAGGAATGAATACGAAGATGAGTAGGAGGTCCTACCGATACTGATGCAGCCACAGCCGCAGTGCTCAATCCTTGCAATGCCATATTCTGATTTTCTGTTTTTAATTGAATTGCATTAATAAAATAATAACCTCATTTTTCATTTGTGTGGTTATTAACAATTCAAATTTTGGTCGTACTCCTCCTATCTTAGGTGCAAAACTTTACTCTTTCTATTTATTTTATTGTTAGTACTGTTTTATGCCATACTACTAAGTTTATTCGGGTTTACTCGTGTAAAATAAATTAAATTTAAAAAGTTTTAAATTAATTTTATTATATGTTGTTTTGAAGCTTATTAAATTTTTTTTTAATTAACTTTGCCATATAGATATTTTATTGTTTTAAACATGTAAAATTGTTTTTTTTTAACTAACACTGCCATAATTATAAACTAACATCTTCTACTTTATATTTATTATTACAAAAATTTATGATATGAGAATTAAATATTATTCAATAATAATTTAATTATTAATGTACAAATGTATAAAATATTACGTCCATATTTTTATAGAAAAATAAAATATACACCGATAATGTAAGATATTTTTACACAATCAATTAATAAATTATGTGTATTTCACTAAATCAAAATAGTTATCTATTCTATTAATTTCTCGGACGGAAAGGAAATAGTCTAACGTAAAGAAAATAGTTGTTTTTTGTATTAATTTTTCTAAAAGTCTTTTTACTAAATTCTCCCGTCCATATTATGTCTGAAAAAATTGAAAAAAAAACATTTTGGATAATTATGACCTTAAGTAAAGAAAATTATTCTTAAATGCCTTATGCGACGGTTTTTTAGGAGTGGGATATGTAGCTTTTCATCTACTGTAAAAATGTTGCCTATTAGAATAGACAACAGGTTTCTTTATTTTAGGTCGCAGTTTATCAATGTTGCTTAAACTTATTTGTGTTGTTATCGTCGGATAACTTACCTATAATTTATTTGAAATATAACTTTTTCAATTTTTTTATTTTTCTCTAGACATAACATCAGAGCATTTTGATCAAATTAAATAAATTGGGGGTGGAGAATAATTGTTGAAGTATAGGATAAAATTTTCTTCGTTATGCTTTATATTGTTTCTCTCAAATTTTATTAATTATTAAAATTATTCATTTCGCATCGTACAGTAGTAAAACGAGTCACATCCTATATGTTTGTTTAGACAATACTATTAAGATAAACCTCTAATAAAATTTTGAAAATTGTGATAACCGAAACCGCCACAATTTACCATGTCAACTCCAAACATATATCTACATTGAAGCTAACACAATTTACCTTATCTAGATAATATTATCTAAAAAAAATAATTTTTAAGAATTGTTATGGCTAAAACTGCCATAATATTCATATTTAGACAAATTATCCATGGTTGTCATTAATCATAAATCGTCAGAAGAGTTATCACAAGAGGAAGAAGACACTTGAATTTCAAGAGGGTGATCATGTGTTCTTGAAAGTTATTCTGATAACTGGTGTTGGTCGCGCGTTGAAGTCTAAGAAACTTATGCCACGTTGCATTGGTTTGTTCCCGATTCTTCATAGAGTATGAGAAGTGGCATACCGAGTGGCATTACCGCCATATCTTTCGAATCTTCATGATGTATAGTATTTCATGTGTCACAGCTGAGAAAATACATTTTGAATCTGTCTCATGTGATCTAGTTGGATGATGTTCAAGTTAGAGAAAACTTGACAGTGGAGACTTTGCCTTTGATAATTGAGAATCGTGAGGTGAAAATCTTGTGAGGAAAGGAGATCACTTCAGTTAAGGTTGTTTGTAGAGGTCCTGCTGGTGGCAGTGTGACGTGGGAGCTGGAAGTAAGATGAGAGAGTCTTATCTTGAGGTTTCCTCGTCAAGTAATTTTTGAGTGCGAAAATTTTTTTATGTGGAAGAGAGTTGTAACACCCCGATTTAAATATCCGTTTATTTAATTATTTAATTAATTTAATTGAGTATTTTGTTTCATTTAAATAATTATTTTGGTGAATATATGACATGTTTGGCTGGTGAGGGTATTTGTGGTGTTTTGTGTTAATTAATTAGGTTAGTGGAAATTGACTAAATTAATTAATAATTTAATTGGAAATTGGTAAGAAATTGTAGAGTTGGGCCAATTTTGGAAATTGAGAGAGTTAGTGGTGAGTGGAGAAATGTTGAACTTTAGTTGGACAAAAGTGTAATTTAGAGAATTAAAATAAAATAGTATATATTTTAAAGTTAGAAAAAAAAACTAGGTTTTTAGAGGTTGTTTCTTTAGTGTGTGAAAATAAAGAAAAAGGAGTGAAAAGCTTGAGAAGAAGTGTTAGGGCTTGAGAGAAGAGATCTTAGGGAGCTTGCTATATTGATTTTTTTGCTAGAGTTACAGGGTAATGGGGAATTCTTCATCTAAGGGTGCTTATATCATGAAAGAGTATAGAGGTTTCCTTTAACCTCCAATAGGGTTTTATTTTTCACGATTGTTTAACGATGAATATGATATATGCATGTTAATAATTTTGTTTCTCCATGAATTGATGTGATAAATTGTGTTTTGTTATTGTTTTGTGTGTTGTTCATGAATCAATTGATCAAGTGATTTTGATTGTTGCAATTGGAACTGGTTTGAGGGATAAGAGGTTGGAGATGAGAAATGCAACGATACTTTGAAAAATTGATTTTCTGGAAAAAAATTACATAGACCAATTGATTGGTTCCGTTAAAAATTGGATTTTTTTACAAAAATGAATGGAACAATCAATTGGCCTCTAAGTGTAATCGATTGGTCCCTTTTGGAAAGTGAAAAATCAGTGAAACAGTGAGTTAAGTGTAATTGATTGGTCCCTGAGTGTAATTGATTGGTTCACATTGGGTTTCCGCCATAACTTAAGTTTTGTGACTCGAATTGAGGCATCGTTTAAATGTTAGAAAGCTAACGCGCAGAGTCGCATTATGGTAGGTCATTATGAGATAATTGATGTATCCATGAATGATCATTGTGTGAATAATTATTGTGTATCGTGTAACATCCTAAACCATGAAACTTATATGTTAAGCTTTACACGACAATCTAAAGTGTCACCAACAACAAATCCTTTAACAAATCAAACATTTAAGAAACACACAGCAGAAATATCAACGACATACAATACTTGTCATCGCATGCTCACCTTCACTTAGGGTATCATTGCAGCAGTATCGATCTTATTTCAATTAAATAGAACACCATAACTTAGACATTTAGTCTCAACTTCAAAATGATATAAATTGTTATCAACATTTTGAGTTATCATGTTCAACTCTCAATAGCTTCAACATAAACCGAATAAAAAAATTAAGATCCAACAAAACATAATAAGCAAACAAATGTTCCTAACCCTGATGTTACAGGATTAGAGTAATACTCCTAAACAACGATGAAACTAAATGAAGTAACTCTATAAGATAACTTCCACCCACAACAACAAGCTCTAGTCCTGAGTATCTGCAAGATGTTCATGATGGATAATATGAAAGCAAAGGGAGTGAGAAACACTTCAGTAACTTAGCGGTGTAAACAAGCAAAGGTAGAATATCACATAACAACAAATACACATGTTAATCGTACCAAGACCCACACATCAAGTATTCTCATCCATACAACACAACACCAAATGATCATTCAGAAATACAACACTAATGAAATTGTACTCAACAATCGACTCAATATGTATGTGGTACCAATATGACCTACAACCTGCATAATTCTTTTTTCTGCATGGAGTTCACTTAGGAACTCAGATTTTCCACTTTTAGTACCTAAATTCGATCCAAAACAGTACAAAAACATCATGTACACCTTTGTATCCTACTATTGCATCAAATTAACATCCCTACTTGAAAATTTTCATATTTCCACACACTACTACAAAAAACACCTATCATAACAGTTGGAAAAGGGATACAACCATGTCCGACCAACCGTTGTGAGGTAAGATATGATTGTATGTATGATGCTTTCCACCACAGGCGTATGATCATTGTGATAAACTAGGTAACCTGCTATATATCACAACGGTCAAAGTATACAGCTGTTGTGATATAAAGCAAAAGGCCATGGGTTCGAAACACAGTGATTGTATGGTTTATAGTATTTTGTGCTCTATCTATAACAACAGTTAGTACAAATAACCTTGATTAAATACTTTGTTTTTTTAATTTTATTTTATTTTTGCATATATTATAAACTTGTATTTTTTTTTCCTGTATATTATACATATATTAGATAAATATTTACAAAATATCTAATTCGGTAATAAAAATATATTTACAACCATCAAAAGCAAGGTCATATAGTACCACCCGCCCTTTTCAACTAACACATTGAAAATAAATGTCCAACGTCTACGGTCGTCGTCTAAGTCCTCAGCAGAGAAAGGTGTCATGTCATTAAACGTCTACATAAACAATTGAAAAAAATTGCATATCACGTGATTTGAATTATAATAGAAAATTATTTAAATATTAAAAATTTCATGATATTATATATATCTGATCCCACAAATCAACAATGCCAGCAGAGGCGATGTTAAACATGTGTTTTATTACATAGTACGGACACTCGTATCCCTCTGCTTGTCACATCGTCTACAAATTTAAACATTTTATGAATATATAACCACACATTTAATGATTATGTATAAGCGAATGTGACAATTAACCCACTTACCTTAGGGTCACAAAATCCGAGATTTTTCCTAGAGTTGTTCAACCTATAATGTCTCTCCACTATTGGAAATGATTTAAAAATAATACACACTAAAATAATTACAAAGTCAAAGAAAATATTATTAAAACTCTTATAAACATAAAGTTACCTAGTGATAATTTGTTGCATATTAGGTTCAAGTGGATTGTGTAACAAACACAATGTAGTTACCATATTCGTCTGAAGATATATAATGATCAATTGAAAATATTCTCTGAATGAACAATACAAGCATATATAATTATTATTTGGTAAAACATAAAAACTAACTATAATGGAGAAACCATAACTTTAAAATTACTCAC